AAAACCGCAAGACCTACCGAGAAGCCTTAAGGTTCCATTAGAAGAATAAGAGAAGTTCACTTTGATGAATAAAGCCCATACAAAGGGACTGAAGTGCTTCTAACTGACCTATATCACACACAGATCTATTCTTCCTAATGTCAACCGCATCACAGCCATGCTAAACAATAGTGTTTGGAATTATACTAAATATAAACCCACAAATGTGCATACATTTTGACGTATTTCTAATGCCCATGGCATCATTATTTGCGATTATCGGTGATGCAGCACTAATGCAATATGCTGTATCCATTAGATGTCTCATCTCAAATCATTAACCTTTTGAAAAGAGATTAGCTCAGGAGGAAGTCGGGCATCAGGGAGGGATTCCTATTGTGACACAACCAGTGAGGAAACGCTTCCCTGAACCCCTGAGTAAGACTGCACACTCTGTGCTTTAGGGGTGATCACTGAGGCGAAAACCTTCAATATTGACAAGTCAAAATCAGTGAATCTCAATACAATACAGAAACATATACATTGACTTAAGGCCTATTCAAACCAAGAACAATAACTATGATAAATGTATTCGTGCTCACACCAACAGACGATAAGATTTAGTTTACAATCGCGTGCTGCGTTATTGCCACCTGCCACTTTAAATTCTCAAGTGCTTTAAGGCCAGTTTACGATAACCAATGATGTAACGATGACTATGAAGTTTTAATGATCGTTCTAATTCTCTGAAAATTGGGAAGTCAAAACCACATCTATATTGTTGGAATCATATTGTTGATAATGTTGAAAGCACTTTCAAAAGTTTTTTTTTTTTTATATTTATATTTTATATTTCTTGTATTTTTTTTTCAGCTGATGAACGATAAAATATTGACAGCTAATTCGAATCCACACGATTGCTCAAGCATCTAAAACAGCAGACAACATAACCAGAGCACGAGCATTTTTGTTCTTTGGTGTGACTGCCATTATAGTTAACTTCACAGTTATCATTAACAGTTATCATTCTTGATGTGAGCAGGCCTTTAAAGTCATGTGTGTTATTGTTCATCAGTTGAAAAAAAAAAAAAAAAAGTTTAAGTGATTACAACCAAATCATTCCTCTTTGCCATTGTGGTGTAGAGTTCATTATTCTCATACAATTAGAATGACTATTAAAACTTTATAGTTATAGTTCTTGGTGCGAATGGTTATATAGCTTAGTTATCGTTATTAATGTGAACGAGGCTTTAAAGTTGGGTGGATTCTAATCAGCAGTCAACATTTTATCAGCTGGAAAATAATTGTTCCTCTGTGAAATTATAGTTATAGCTATGGACTTCCCTGTTCTCATCGAATTTGAACGATTACTAAAAATTCATAGGTATTGTTATAGTTATACTTGATGCAAAATAGTTCTTTATTCAGTCACTCATTTGCTAACATATATTAGCCATACGCATTGTTTTCCTAAATTTGGAATATCTGCATACAATTTATGACTAGTCAAACTTACAAGCACCACCTGTTACAATCTTAATTTACATATTTAGGAACAATAAATATAATCTGATAATACAGAGGAATTCGAATTGTATTAGCAAATACATTTAACATTCCTGAGCACGGCGTACAAATCAACGATCAATGAATGCAATGAATGGTCACACACCATGGACATTTAAATGAAATTTTTCAAGGAACAGCTCACCCAAAATGGAAAATTCTGTCATAATTCAGAACAATCTCGGTCTCATGTTGATCTAAACATGCAGGCCTTTCTTCAGTGAGAAAAAAAAAAGTGTTAGGTACTTATGTTTGACTGACAGCCACAATTGTGTGGATAAAAGATGCAATGAAAGTGAATGGCAACTAAAGCCGTCAAGATTTTGGTTTTTGTGCTTTACAGAAATAGCAACACTGATAGAATTTTCATCTTAAGGTGAGCTAGCTTTTTAAACTAGCATCTTTCTCCGAAGACCACAGTCTCAGACCTGTGTACGTTAATGGATTCTCTAATGGTCCCCCAGTGAAGACTAAATCCTTCTATAAAAAATAAATACAAATACAAATAGAAATAAAAATACATAACGTGAAATAATAAACACCACCTATATCCGTATGTTTAATTCAACAAAATAAACGTAAATAAAAATACACAGTAAATAAATAAATAAAGCCTTCTCACGACATTGAATGAGCTTTCCTCCTGCTGCGGGCCAGAAGCCTCAATGTTCAAAGTTTTCAGCCCTTAACATGAAGGAGGAACACGATATTTCACAAATCACCTGCCAGCTGTCTAGAGCACCAATATATCTAACTGCTTTGTTGATAACCAATCGAGCTGCTCAGATATCGATGCATATCACATCTAAACAGCGAACAGAGACATCAAGTTATTCTTTTCTGTCGCTAGTATGAGCCACAGGGCGAGTCGTGATGCGTAGTTATTGTTCAAACTCTGTATACAGATCACAGCCTCAATCAGTCAAGATTACCGTTAATTATAGGCAGGATTACCCGTCAGCTAACCAATATGAACTAATGGAGCTAACAGCTTGACAAACACCTTTAGCTCGTTAGCTATAGCAGCTTTATTTCTTTCACTCACTTCCACGATGAACTTCGCCAGTGGCTTGAGGGGGAGATGAATACTGAGATACCAGCGTCTGTAGATTATATGACACCTTTTCTGAATAAAATCAGTGTTGATATCCGCTACCCGCTTTTCCTCCTTTCTTTAATGTTCCTGCAAGTAACGTGAACCTTTCGCTGGTCGCGAATGACTTCCGCTCTCGGACTCTAAGGAGATTTCAAAACAAAAGTCCCTGTGCTCATTCCGGTCATTCCTGATACTCAGTACATTTAGAATTCTAGAATTCTTAAACAACAATATGCCTGCGTTGTCGTTTCTATATAAAGTACAACAGACTTTCAGAAATGTGCTCTGTTCAAGCTCAAGTACTTAAGCTTTATTAAATATAGCTTGATTATTTAAACAGTGGCGAGAAAAATGAACAGGATGCTTAACAGGATGGAACTTAACAGGACGAAAATAAAGAGCTAAAGTTAGTCACTTCTGAGCGAAGGACTGAAAGCTCACATGAGGATGTTAACATGAAATCAGCATATCACTTATCTTATGCAAGTTTGATCAAATAATGTATGCACAATTTCTGTAATTTTGTCTAACAGGCTGAGAAAATGATAACAAGTGAGAAATTCACTTGACAAAACAACAAAGAATTCATGTTGCTAAATCTGTGTTGTTGTTGATAGCCTAAATCTTATTTAGGACCTGTCTTTTGCTAATTAAAGTGACATTACAAAAGACTAGCAAGATGAAAATGCGAATATTGAGGACACCGGGGGAAAATATGAATTAATTGTCAAATAAAAGAAGATTCTGCGGAGAATAAGAAAAACGAATAAATGGAAAAAAAAAAAAATAATAATAATAATAATAATAGAGAAAAGGACAAATAAAGAAAAATCTGAAATAATTCGTAATAAACTTCTCAGAAGTAAGTGCATCTCAAGTCAAATTAATATTTGACAAAATAATAGCTCAAATTAATATTTAAATATGATTTCTGTCTTTACATATTGTGAATTTGTTTTTTTATCCAATAGTGGGAACATAAAAATGGATGCCATAACATGCATGACCCCCTAAGAAAAAAGATCCATAAGGCCGTGTGTGTATATTTCAGTTTAAAGCACAAAGGATTAAAAATAATTAAACAAGAAAATAATAATAAAATAATAAAGTAAGTAATAGACATGCTCTTTTTAAACTCATGGTCTTTTTTTTTTTAAACTGCAGTTAATTTCATTGTATAATATGTATCGTTTCTAAAATAAGAACAGCAATTTAAATAAACATGTAATATAATTATCCTAATTGATATCTAACTTAGGCCTATAACCTATATCTCGCAGCGCCACTGTGATAATTAATCTTATATCCATTTGTTTCCAGCAGCACTGCTATAGTTGTGCTATTACTGCTATAAATAACTGGAGACAATAAATGAAGAAACCCAAACAGTTACAGACTTTTATTGGTGATTGACTGGGCTGCTCTACACATTATAATGTTGTGTGTAGCACCTCAGGGTGGATTTGTTTTAAATGTTAAGAAATGACGCAGCTACAAACAATTCAACATACTTATTTGATTGATAGCATATTGAAAACATGCTTATTTCACAATTTGAAATGTCTTTAATATGTGTAATTTGGTTAGCTGGTATATTTTACATTTGTTGATATAGGCCTATGTGATTTATGAAATAGCCTATTAATTTTAAGTTTAGTGTCATTTATAAAACCGATTTTATTATTATTATTTTATTTTTTATTTATTAGTGTACTACGGAATGGACAAGGCTTTCTTCCCCCTCATAAATGCCAGATCAGGGCAGGTTGCCATGTGTTTAAAATATTAGAGATGTATTATATTATTCATTACAGATACATGTATAATTATTATTGATAATAAGCAGTGTTTTTATGACAGTTTTTGTACCCTTTTTTATTGTGTTCTGTTTCATGTTTTATATTAGATTTAAACTGATCTGAAAATTAATAGGCTGTTTAATGGCAGGCTCTGCTGTGACAACTTACCCCCATACAGTGTGATAACATGACCTGCTATGTATTTAACGGAATGTACACGGCAATAGCTATGAATGTCCAATAGCTTTTTTCGACTGGATGGTTTGTCTGTTATTTGCATTGCGCTTCTGTCAAACAGATGGTTCTGATGAGAAATGACATTGAAACGAGTGAGTGTTGTCTTCTCAGCCTACAGAGGGCGCTGTTGCTCTTATTATTACTAAGTGACTGCAAAACCCTAAATTATTATTTATCTTTAGTACTTTAATTTTAAAATTGTAACGAGACCAGTATTTACTAAAGTCAAAAAACGCAAGTGACGTTATATAAAACCCTACAAGTACAAGTACTAAAATACTCCGCCGTTAGTTGTTTGAACCTGAAAGGGTTAACTCGTGTAATTGGATCAATGGGGATAATGCGGAGCCCCAGCATCTAATTTCATCCGTGAAGACTCCACTCGTACGCGCCTGCTGCTGTTGCTGGAATAAACACTATGAGTTACTGTCGACGATGGGCCTGCTTTCTAAAAACAACCTGTTGAAAGTGTTTCTCCATGACCCTGCCTCCTGGTAAATGTTTATGGGAGATATTATTTCGCCGCTCGGTTGCCATGGCAGAAAGGGAAGGTGTCTGCGCGGTGTCCACTTTTCTTCACATGGCGCTTTTCTCGCTCTGAACGCAGTCTGCATGTAAATATATTGGAGATAAACCGCTTCACATCGTACTGAGGAACTCTGGGAGAGTTTGACAACGTGGGACATCGAGTGCATAACTGGTTTTCGCCTGAATAAGAGCAAAACAGCAACGAGTAAGTAGATTTCAGTATTAGAATCGGTTACTGTGTATCTCTGTGGTGCTTAACTGGGCACATTTTTACCTCAAGTATGTGTGTGAAGGGTATATTTGTCCAGGGCATTGTAGAATATAAAGCCAAAACACGATAAAGGGATTAAACAAGTCCGCAACAAGTTTTGTAACGTATTTATTTAGCGGAATATGTTGTGTGCCACTCAAAGTCCGTCTAACATCCGTTTCCTTTGACACTACAGTCATACAAATCCCTTGAAATTTGAGGAGGCTTCACCCTTTGCTATTTGAAGAAAGGGGCTAATGTCTGCAGACTGCTGATATTACCTGTATTGTGATTAAAATAAAATATAAATGGGTGTTTCTTTAAATATGGGCACCTTGGGCCAGGTGGTTTTTGCAATATAAACTCTTAAAACACTTAGTTTGTCCACAGTAGTGGACATACACAGGAGAATTTTTAAGTAATTTCCCCCACTGTGTCATTTCCACCACATTTTAATTTATGTATAGTGTCCAACAATGTTACATGATCTCTTTTGGCTAGCATTTTATGTATCCTAAATGTACTAAGTTACAGTTAAATCATATTTTCAATTTCCCCCCTTTTTTTTAAGACATCACATGTCACATTTCATCTCAAGTATGCTCTTCACAGTCAATGTATCTTGGTAAAAATTACACTATTAGTACATTAGTACTAAAGTACCGTTATTAGTACCAGTACTTAGTATTAGTATTATTTGCACTAATAAAAGTTCATTATTAGGGCAAAATTGTTGGTTGTTTTGGAAATGATGCTATTATGCGACAAAATTCAGTTGATACAAATCATTTTCATAAATATAAAAATCATTTGTTTCAGTAATTGTTTAGATCGTTACAAATTAAAATTTAATACATGTTGATAAATGGGTGTGGAACAAGGTTAAATTATACATTGAAAAGTAGCTGCATAAAAAGTTCCCATGTGACCTTCATATAATAAAATATCAAAAAGTTGAAATCTGTTTAAGTAAAAATCAACCCACAGGACTTCAAATGTTGAAGCAACACCCAAATAAAATTAGGCTATATTCTGAATATATAACCTTTTATTTATATAAAAATGTGTCTCACTGTTTGTGCTGGCAGTGTCAAACAGGATCAAGGTTCAGGAGAATTCATTTGTTTTGTCTTCTCACTCCAGATTATGGATGAATGGGAATGGCCTATAAGAATGCAACCCTTATTTCCTGCTTGCATAAAAAAATGGTGTTTTTGCAATTCAACATTAAGGTACATCTCCTTAAATAGAAAATTGTGTCATTGTATCTCAGATGAAGGGTGGTGGAGGGCCTAATGATTAGACTGCCAGTGCAGATATTCTGGGTTCAGTGAAGCATGGTCATTGTATCACAACTCTAAAATCACTGTAAGTTGCTTTGGATAAAACATGTCTCCAAAATGTCAAAGTGCAGTAAAAGTTAAATCAGAGATTAGACTGTGAGTTGTTCTGAATGCGAGCCCAGGGCTTCATGCTCTTTAGTAATTAGGGTTCCGCACTTTTAAGCGAAGAGAGTTAAACTGCAGATCCGTGAGAGCTCAGGTGATCCCATTCAGCTTTCTTTGTTGTGTTCCCATGAAGTCTTATACCTAGATGTTTTTGTATTGTATTTATTGCTTTGTTCAATCACGGAGACCTTTCATGGATGCTCACTGATCTTAGACTAAACTCACTGGGGCAAACGTAGGAAACTATCTCTGTTGTTGTGCGGGGTGCTGGAGGACGCTGGGTGGAGAACAAAACTGCTTTTGTTTTCTTCATGCCTACACAAGGACCCAGAGTTCACTGAGCCTTTGAGAGCAGGGCTATATTGAGCTTTCCCGATGCCAAATTCAGGATTCTTTGACGGATCAGTGTTCCTGGGAAGATGTGTGGAAGGAAGGTAAATGTGGGGTTTTAAGTGAAAAATGGTCACGTGCGTCAGATCTTTCAGACTAGTGTGGTGTCATTTTGGTCTAAATAGGCTTTCTGAAAATTTGCGTTAATGCTTTTAAAGAAATGTTATGCAATTTCAGTACAATTTCTTCTATATGCTGTTGAAACATGCAGAAAAATATTAAAATAGTAACATGGAGAGGTAGGGCTGGGTTTTGACACAAGTTTCACGATTTGATTCGCATTCACAAACTTGCGATTTGATTCGATTACTGATTCGATTCAATATCGATTATTTTGGATATATAAACATAATGGTGGCTGTCATAAAATCTTGATGGATTTATTGAAACATAAATTAAACATTGAAGAACTTTCAAATTTATAATGAAAATGTTATATGGTGCATATATTTAGCAAAATGCCCCTCTCTACAGATTATTTTTCTGGCTGACTAACAAGTTTGTGGTCACCGAATATGCTTTCTGAGGTAAATGTGATGTTGCATGAATTGTTTACAAGCTGTTATATTGACGTCTTTGCGCGGCTGAAACACAGATTGAGCGATTACATGAGACAGGATACGGATTGTAAAGTTGTACTCTTTCTTTTCACTTACCTTCGGATGTTTAGTCATGTTTATTTTATGCTGAAACTGGTATTAATGTGGAGGAGATGATCAGTTCACGTGCGCTATACACGCTGCCGCGTCTGTTGAACTGAGGCGCTACAGCGATCGGTCACGCCACATTAAACAGCGCCAAAACAGCATTTATTGTTTGAATACTGCAATACAAT